CTAAAATTATACCTATTACATCTTGAGCTCGGCTAGTAGACTTTTCACTAAAGCCCTTCCTCCACAAGCTTTTTCTACCTTCATTTCTAAGTTGAGCATTTTAGATATCTACCATGTTCCAACTTGTAAGAACTGTGTTAATCAATTATCAATTCAACTCAAGTGGATGAAGATATCAATCTAGCCTATATAATTAGTATATTATTCAAATTTTTGTTACAAGAAACTATCTCTTGTACTGGGGGCTAGATTTGTTTAGTGCACTCTAGCTCCTCGTACATAAACCCCATGTACACATACTTTTGTCTTTATTTTTTTTTTCTTAAAAACTTTGAGAATTACACATATATTATTTTTTTATAATTATATTATTGATACGAATTATCTATATCATTTTGTCAATGACTAATCTCTGTCGGACAATTTATCTAACCATTTTTAATGAGGTCTTTTTTCCCAACCATTTCTTCATCTACAAGACTCAAACACAAAATCTTATTTAAATTAATCGAATTTAGTACTATTTGAACCAACAACTTGTTAATACTTATAAAATTTATTATTATTATTATTATTATTATTATTATTATTATTATTTTATTAGGACCATAGTTTTTCTGTCACAACATTATTGTGCCAAAAATAATTGTTGTATAGATCAATTGCTATATCCTCTAAAAGAAGAAGTGAAAAATAAATTTATCTTTTTAAATCACAAAATCTGTCCCAAATTTTTAAAAAATGTAAAATAAATAATATATTCTCTCTTACCTTTCGTCTAAAAAATATGATGTCAATATTTGCAAAGAAAAAAAAAGGCAATGAAATATTTTGTTACAACGTGTAACGCGAATTTTCGTCCTAGATATTTTTTTTCTTCTTACTGTGTATCAATTAATATCTAAACTAAACAGGCCATCCATCACTGGCTTCTTTTTTTATGAATTCATGATGATATGAGAGATGCTTAAAGTAGATATAGAATATTATTAGCTCAAGTTAAAAAGAAAGTGCAAAGAAAAGTTACCCTTATCTAAGTTCATCTGGCTGAGCAGTCAGAGCAGGAAGTAGAAACCGTCAAAGAGAGAATCATTGTGGGGGAAAAGACAGGAAAAGCCTAGTCAGAAAATTTGTTTTGCTTGTTTCATATTTCAAGCCGTGAGCGAGTGAGAGTGAGGGAACAAACGCACCGACTAATGCATGAACTGAATAAAGCAAAACCCTTCGCTTGCCCCACTTGAACTCTCTTTTCTAAACCTTGCTCCCAACACATTTCACACATAACCATCATGCTTGCGTTTAAAAGTAGTGAGCCATGTCACCCCCACTAACGTGCATGACTTTCCACGAAGCTCTATCAGTGTCCAAAACTCAATGAACCAAGGAGATGCCACCAGGTCCCACATATATATCAATATTCGATACTTGTAATAATAAACGTTAACCAATCTCATATATATACACAACAAAAATATCAATCATTAATTATTTTTTAACAACAATTAAAGTAACTTATTTTACTTTTACTTGCTCTAGCTAGGATAGCCAAATCAAATAAACACCCGAAAAGAGATTGAGTTGTTAACTATGCTAGATACGGTGGTAAGGGGCAGAAAGAGTTGGAAGGGTTTGCCTCATACGTTGTGGCACAAAGTTAAGGCAAGAGGGTCCCACTCATGCTTATAATAGGAGGCACTTACGCAGATGAAAAGGAGACGTATCCTATTGGGGTACAAATGGATTGTTGTCAGTGGAGGAGCTAGCATAGTTCGTGGATGAGTGTGAAATCATATGACCCTAGGCACATGCCTAGTCTCTCCAAGATCATGAGCCTACTATATATACATGGCTGGCTTATGGGACTGGGGCACCCCCAATATTGTACAATTTTCCTATCTATCTTATAACATAAGGTAATCATTTTTCGAATAACCATTAAATCTTAAGTTAAAATAATCTCGTGCGAATTAATTCATGATTTGGTGGTGGTACCACATGCTATTAATAAATACATTTCATTTGCTCTATTTATTGATTGATCAATAACGAGGGGTTTGCGCCATGCGTACGTTGCCCAACACAAGTGGATCACGATGATAAATTGGTGGATGTATTTGAGACAAGAGAAATCTTTTTTCATCATTCAGGAGCAGACCGCCAGACCCCATGGCCAAGCCATGAAATTAATTATTGCCACCTAATTTCTAAAATTAGGGACCATAAATCCTAGTTCTTTAATTTAGCTAGCTAGCTAGCTAGTTCCATTGCCATATTTGATTTTCGAAAGTGATGTTTAATACTTTATGGCTTCTAATTTAAGAATTGTCCGAAGGGTTATATCACAGCACAATACAATGTTGGCCATATAAACAATTATAGTGAATAGTCATGACATGAGACATGAGACATGAGACATGAGACATGAGGCATGAGGAAAAAAAGTCTTGTCTTGATATGTTGAGGGTGGAATGAAAGGGTGAAGCACGCGGGGGGTGCGTTGAAACTAGGGGTTCTTATTGAAAAAAAGTCAGAGCTAGATGATGTAGCTGAAGACCCTAACCTAAGTATGCCAAATTGATGGAGTGAGACAAGTGAGAACAGAGTGTAATAAGATTAGACACTTTAAGAAGCGTTGCTTTGGGTAGTTGAATATTGGTATTCAGGCTGAGAAATTAAGAATCTGCCGTCACGCTATGAATTCCGTGGAGTTTCTAAATTCCAAGTAACGCCTTTATACGTATTTTCTAATTGTTTCGAATGATTACCAAAGTTAATTTGTGCAGCACCTTAAGGTTAGTTCCCCGTTGCCACCTTAAATCCATGGATGCACAACAAATTACCTAGTACGTACGTATATTAACAAAAACTCAAGTCTTTTATATTTTTCAGATTTATATGTATGCCAAATTAAAATGATGGCATTTCTTAATTCAATAATGAAAAATTAAATACAAATATTTGTTTTAATTATATTAAATAAGAGTGAGTTGAATTAATTAGAATAATATAAATATACAATGCCATCTACCTATCTATATGTAAAACCAAATACTTCCTCGCTTGGCATGGGTCACGCAAAAGTATTGAAAGATCTAGTGCACTTATTTTTCACTTTCATCCAAAACAAAAGAAGGAAGCATCTTGGTATTTTTATTTTTAGACATGGATAGAGGGCGGCAACCAGCGTTGCTTAATTTGTTCCAAACACGCACCTATTCATTATAATCTTTATTTGGAGGTTACCCATATTTACATACACATAGTGTGAACTACACAATGAATTCCTCAATGTATGTTTGAAAAAAATATATAATAGGACAAATTTAATGAATATATAGTAGTATTAGTCGGTGTTGTTTTGATGACTCAACATGCTTTAGTCTGAAACATCATTCTCCAAATGATTTTATTGGATACAGAATCTCAACGCTTGTGTAAATCAAAATTGTCTCATGTAGATGTAGATTGAACTTATTCGCGATATGAATTATGAAAGGAATATTGAGCTTTAAGAACTGATTCAATTTTATTTTTCTTAAAATACCTAATTAATACACATACACTTGCGCTTACCATTGCATTTGTAGAATCAAGGCATCTAATCGTTCCCTTTATTTTAACTTAACATTTGAGCATTTGACATTAGAATTACATCATGAGAACGTGTTAGCTAGTAAAGCATGGGTTGTTAGGGTTTATAGGGCACACAGAACCCTGTTTAGACGATCCAAGGGTGGTTGTGCGCCCTTAATGGAGAGCAAAATGTACAAAATAATATTATTCCAATTCCTATTGAATTATGCTGTTGTGGATTTCATTATATGTACATGAATGCTTTCTGGAAGCCAGTAAATTCATTTTCGTATGTCAAACGGCATAAGCATCTTTAAATCTTATTATAATCCTGATTCCGAAACTAATGCAAATGTGAAAAGTGCAGGTTGACCCATGATTATTCTTGCGTCTTACACCGAGCATAGAATATATATGTAAATTCTGAATTAGAAGATTCTGATTAACGTACCGGAGCATATATTTGCATATATTCCCAGCATAAACCAATTTTTAGGACACACTTTAACTATAGTGCGTGCACAGTGGTCACTAGTTTTTCTCACAAATCATAGCAAATGGTCCCTTCAAAACTCGTACGTGGATTCTTATAGTTTATTTATTAGTTTTCTAGATAGAGGTGAGGTGGCCTAAGTTAAAACTTATGGTGGCCAAAGCGTACGTTTATTACGTTAAAGCATCAAATTTGCCATTATGCTGATATTATATATATTGTAGTAGGACAAAAAATATTTTTTTTATTCAGTAATAATTCGAAGAAAATAGAAAGAAAATGCAATTAATTATTAGAACTACAAAGTAATCTATCTACCAGTTTTTTATTTTTATTTTTATTTTTTATTATTACATCAATCTATCAAGCAGTTAAATAATATACTAAAGTAAAAGTCACATGTTACTATTATAAATATATATAAGTAAAAAACAAGTCAGGTCGTTCAATGATACTTATAAGTTATAATTACTAATCCTGTATGAAGCTTAAGTTAAATTCGGATTATATATTTTTGACTAAAGTTAAACTCAGTTACATAAAACTAACATAATAACATAATCTATTTTCACTAGTACTGATTAAGTTTTTGTTTTTCATTGATAAAATATTTTGTTCTTTAATATGTTTTTTTTTTTTAGCAATTTCACTGTGAAGAAATCCTAAGATATATGCATAAATTCATTTATATATAAAATAATAATGTTCATAAGTAACATCCATAAATCAGATAATCTCATATGATAGTAGTCCTCCCTGTATATCTGTTTTTGTTGACAAAATATCCTCATTATTTTTATCAATAATTGTGAGCTTCCTATTTCACATATTTGTGGTCTGAGTAACGAACCCAAGTCAAATCTTTTTTTTTTTTCTTCTCTCTCTCTCTCACCCCACACAAGTTAGTTATGGATTGCAATAAATTAAACAGGGATACCATTAATAACACAACAATATCTGCATGTATTTTTGCATTAAATATCCAAAAAAAGATTTTGGACTACCCAGGCCCAAACACAAACCAAAGTCAAACCCCACATGTTGATTGTTGACCGTGAGTGACCGAGTCTGAGTGGCACGCTCATTGATTGAGAGCTTAGCAAGAATGGGAGAAGAGAGGTTGAGGTTGAGCACGCTGGTGTTCACTGTGGCTATCACCGTGCTTTCTCACTCATCGCAACCACTTGCGTCGAAACATGCACCGCGATTCCTTGGAAAATTCGCGGCAGCACCAAACAGTTCCCAGCCACCGCAATTCCACTACGAAACCAGATACTTCCAACAGCGCCTCGACCACTTCAGCTTCTCCGACCTTCCCACGTTCCCGCAGCGTTACCTTATCAGCACCGAACACTGGGTGGGCCCGCAGCGTTTGGGCCCAATTTTCTTCTACTGTGGCAACGAAGGAGACATCGAATGGTTCGCCCAAAACACCGGCTTCGTCTGGGAAATCGCCCCTCGATTCGGTGCCATGGTGGTTTTTCCCGAAGTAAGACTCCTTATCGCTCACGTTCCCTTGTGTTGTAGTAACTTGTACCTGAATTTTCAATTTCACAACCCTTTTCTAATTGTGTGCATGTGGCAGCATCGATACTACGGTGAGTCCGTGCCTTACGGAAGTGCAGAGGAAGCGTATAAGAATGCCACTACCTTATCGTATCTCACCGCTGAACAAGCTCTCGCTGATTTCTCTGTTCTCGTCACTCATCTTAAGCAGAATTTCTCCGCCAAGGATTGCCCCGTTGTCTTGTTTGGAGGATCATATGGTGGAAGTAAGTAACACATTACTAGTGTTTTGCCAAAATAGATATATAAATATGGAGTAATCTCACTTAAGTTTTGTAGAGTTAAAGTTAGATTCAGAATTACTTTCTAAGATGATTTTAGAGTTTATCTTAATGATCTTTGTTAAATTAAACGCTAAAACTCTAATTTGGTTCCTTATAATATTTTAAAGTTTTAATTTAATCTCACTTTAATTTTTGGGTTCAATTTAGTCTCACCTATTAAAAATGTTAGCAATGTTTGTCTTCGGTCTAAATTTTTCAAACTCCGTTTAGGGGTGTCCATGTGATTGAGAATTACGGGCGTGATTCTCATGGCTCTTACTTAGCAAATTTTTTTTATGTGATTCATGCCGTGGGAATCACGGGCGTGATTCTCACCGTGATTCTCACGGCTCTTAAACTGCATTTGAGAAATTTAGACGGAAGACAAACATTGTTAGTATTTTTGATAGGTGGGAACTCAAAAATTAAAGTGAGACTAAATTGAAACTTTAAAATATTATAAGGGACCAAATTAGGATTTTAGCCTAAATTAAACTATCGCCTACTGTTGGGTCATTATTGGACCACACGTGCAGATATATAGTCATGCCAAGAATAATTTTTACCATATAAGTCGACTTTGTAGGATTGAAACACAAATCCATTTCTAAAAAATATACACAATTTTTGCAAATCCAAACATGTTACATGGAATTGTGAGTTAATTAGTTTTATAACGGTTTCTGACTTTCTGAACTCTTTTTTTAGTGTTAGCTGCATGGATGAGACTCAAGTATCCTCATATTGCTGTTGGGGCACTTGCTTCGTCAGCTCCTATTCTTCAATTTGAAGACATTGTGCCAGCACAAACTTTCTATGACATTGTTTCCAATAATTTTAAGGTAAGTAAGACAGTGAGTCTTCGCTCGTGGTTCAGGTATTTGTCAGTGTTGTAATTAGTATACAGTTAGTAATAGTATACTAACGGCTTTCTCTATTGTTTGTGTCAATAGCGTGAAAGTATCACTTGCTTCAACTATATAAAACAGTCGTGGAATGAGATTGCGTCTATAGGACAAACAAGTAATGGACTTACACATCTGGCCGAAACTTTCAACTTATGTCAGTAAGGCATTTAGAAATGTGTCTGATTTTGTATCACTTGATTGTGAATTGTGATATCCATGTTTTTTTATTTCTCTTGTGCTGATTTAGTTAAACTAATTGAAGGAAATTAAAGAAGACTGTAGATCTGTATGACTGGTTGGAGTCTGCGTATAGTTATTTGGCAATGGTGAACTACCCATATCCTTCAGAATTTTTGATGACTTTACCTGGGCACCCCATTAGGGAGGTTAGTATGGTTTCGTTGTATATGATTGGAGATCTTATTATTTGTACAAACTTGTATGTAAGGTGATCTTGTTTTCCCAATTTAGTCTTTCTGTTGTTAATCCTATCTTCAAAATTTCCTTGACTGTTTTTGGTTGTGCAACCAGGAAATTGAATTAACTTGTGGATGTTTCTGGGAACATGTTTGGTCTTGTAGCTAGGATAAAGAAATTAGTTTGTCTCCTATTCTAAGCCGGGGAAGGGTCCTCTTTGTCTTTACCAATCAATAAGATTATATCTATCTATCTATATATATATATATATTTATTTATTCTTTTATAGGTATGCAGAAGGATTGATGAGGGTCCTGCTGGTATTAGTATTCTGGAGCGCATATATGAAGGAGTGAATGTCTACTACAATTATACGGGAGAAGCTAAATGTTTTGAACTGGATGATGATCCTCATGGCATGAGCGGTTGGAACTGGCAGGTTAAGTATTGAGGTCCAATGACACAAAATGCCTTGATTAATATGCTCCCGTCCTAATATTGGTTTGTTGACTTCTGTTCCATCTATATTCATCCATCGTGTAGGCTTGCACTGAAATGGTTATGCCAATGTCTAGCAGCCAGGAGTCCAGCATGTTTCCGCCATATGAGTATAATTACACTTCTTTCCAAGGGGAATGCTTAAAGAATTTTGGAGTGAAGCCAAGGCCAAAATGGATTACCACAGAATTTGGTGGGCATGTAAGGGAATACAGTTAAATCTTAGTTACATTTCCATTATTTTCAGGACTAAAAAATTCCATCATAATTTTATATTCTGGTTTAGTTCATAATGATCCTGCCCTCCCCCTAATGTGATTATTATAGTCAACTTCAATAAATTGAATCGATGTATTCCTTGTATAGATGTGTGAAACTTATTACTTATGCATGTAAACAAGCTATATTAGGTGCTAGGAAAAAGCAAGGATAGCTATTTATTTTTGTAGTTCTGAAAGGGTTTGGTGATTTCATACACAATGAGTTGGAGGAATATTTGATTGATGAAAACAGGAAAAAGAATATAATGCTGTGAAGTATAGAATGCTTTTGGGTGACCTAGTAAATTGTATGCAAATATAGAAAAATAACTTTCTTTTAACTTAGTTTTGAAGTATCAAGTAGTATTCTATAACATGCATTTTCTGCGGCATTGTTACTCTGTAATAACGACATTTCCTTCTCTATAGACTATAGAAATGTACTGTAACGTGTATTAAGACACATGCTGATGTGTCAACCTGTAATATAATTAATGAGGTTACTGTACCTCACTTTTTTTTATTCTACCTTTACAATGTTGCATGTGTGGTACCAACGTCAATTTTGTCAGAAGTCTCTTACTACTTGGGACATGAATTTATTCTTCTAGAAAATAGATGAAAGATAGTCGATACTTTGAAATAAATGGTCCTATCCCTTGGTGATTCCGTTTGGATAGATTGTATGAAAGCATGCTCAATTAAAACTAAAAAGGCAGTATTCTGATAGTATGTTGTTTTAACCCGGTGTTTCTGTGTCTGGGCATCTTGTTTGAAGGATATCCATGACACCTTGAAGAAATTTGGAAGCAATATAATTTTCTCAAATGGCCTCTTGGATCCATGGAGTGGTGGCAGGTGATATATTTTTTTTTTCTGTAAATATCCTGGCTATTAAGTTTTATATTTTTTCAACAAGTGATTATCTTTGACTGTTAATGTCACATTCTTTAATATGCAAATTGTTTCCATTGCAGCGTTTTGCAGAGTATATCTGAAAATGTGGTTTCACTTGTAACTGAAGAAGGTAAGCATTTGATTATTTTGAAATTTTTAATATTCTTCTGTATGGATCTGAGTTTATTTTCTTGTCTGAAATTGTAACTATTATTTTGCTATACGTGCCATTGGTATAAGGTACATCTGTTTTGATTTATTGATAATAATTCCAGGCAACTTATGTACAAAACTTTTTGAACTATAATTGATGACAAAAGTTAACTAATTTTTCCTTAAATGGTTCCTCAGGTGCGCACCACATAGATTTACGTCCTTCAACTCAAGATGATCCTGATTGGTTGGTAGAGCTGAGGGAGACTGAGATAAAGCTAATAGAAAGTTGGATAAGTGACTACCACCAGAAAAATAAAGCTATGTTCGATATGTAACTGAATCTTTCAACTGTTTGCTTCACCACTGTTCTATACAGTTCTGTAAAACACGAATGTTTGGTTTCAGAGAACCTCTTTTTCTTGTTTGGTATTGTAATTGTTCAAGACAATACACGTACATAGACACAACACGCGCATGTGAATAGCAAGATTTCCGCGTATCTCACTTGGATCTCCTCAATTTATAAAAGAGAGTGGAAAAACTATCAGCTGTAGAAGGAAGAAAGCATCAAAGCTAAGATTCAAATATTACAGGGAACGGATCCTCTGTATTGGAGAAAAAAAAAAGAAAGCATTATATTAACTTCTGCTGTGATAGTGATAATATAACTGCAGAAAATCTTAACCATTCATTTAATTTCTTTAACATAATATAAGAGTTAATCATCCATACATTGCTAGTGTAATATTTTTTACATTGACAACCAATCATATCTTTTAAATTATTTTATTTTATTTTTATTTCATTAAATAAGCGAATAACATGACACTATTAAAAGATATGATTCGTTGCTAGTGTAAAAAAACTTTACACTGGCAGTGTATGGGTGATTAATTCTTATTATAAACTATAAATTACAAAAATAAGTGGTGAGATTTTAATACTTTAACATATCATTTTTTCTTCTAATTCGTCCCTCTATCAAGGACAAAGTTAAACTTAAAGATCTAAGGTTCTTTTTTTTAATCAATAAGAAAAATTACAAGAGTGATATGGAGGAAGTCTTCATGTATTTATTTCAATCCTCACTTTTACTCTACTAGTTTGGCTTTAGAGAATTCGAGGGGTTAGGTACAACCACTAAAAATTATCTATAAACGCTTGTCAAATTTCATACAAGATATTTATAATTATATATGTAAGATATTTATTACAATAATAATTTATCAAAATGTTAATAAAATATATATTTACATACAATACACATTCAACAATGTGCAATAATTCATGAATACTACTTGTTCTCATCACTTATGAGCCTTGACTTAGACTTCCCGTTGCATGATCTTCACAAGATTCACATATATTGATTTGCTAATTTGTTGATATCAATTCACATCGTTTACATCATTCATATCTCATAGTATCATAAATATATACTTAACATATTATATTTAGTTATCAATATTAACTAGTACAAGAGTCATACATATTAGTGACACATTAATTCCATGGACATTGCTTCACCAAAACATCTTAAGTCGTTAACAATCAACTAACGTCATCATTTATTCATAATTATTCTCTTTCACATAGACACCGATTTCTGTCTGAGACATAAAATTGAAGACAAGAAGCTTTTGAAGCGAGAGAAATGACCTTCTAAAAACATAAAAGACCCCAAAACATGTCAAGATGGATCAAAAGGCCTCTAGAAGACATTTTAAGGATCAAACAACCAAGAAAGAGACCAAAAAGCATGAGAATGGTTGTTCCAACCATGAAAACGGTCGTTCCCATGCTAGGCCAAAATGGCCATTCCAAAGAAAGGTGGCCATTCCAAGCAAGGATTTTTAGTGCAAAGGTGAGGTCGAGAACGGCCGTTCCAAAAGGAGAATGGTTGTTTCGTGCCTCTAACACCTATTTAAGTGTGTCATCACCCCCACCCATACAGGAAACACTCCCATTTCTCAATATTGGGGCTTTTATCTCTCTTTGACTTTCTTCAAGTTACTTTGAGTAAAATAAACTCATTGTAGTTCCTGATTAAGAGATCTCTGGATCATTTGCTAGAGTCAAAGTTTCTTAGTCTAAATTTTGAGCGATAGTGAGGTTCTTGTTGAGCGAGGAGGTTGTCTCAAAGCACCTTTAACCTTCTTTTATAAAGCTTTCTTTGAAGGTTCCGAATTCTCTCTTTTTTCTTATTTATTGCTTTAATTTATTGCGTAAACCATTTTTTTCCAATGCTTTAAGCAAATATTGGTGGCAACTCCAAGAACCTTTTTTTTCAAAATCATTGACGAAGGTTTAGTCTGGTTATCAAACATTCTGATGTTGATGAGATTTAACAATGAAAGTCGAACAAGCCATCCTTTTTAGGTCGGGTTCCGACATTCCATACTTTTTCTTTTCTAAACATTGATATAAGTACCTCAACTCATTAATAAGATTATACACTTAAAGGATAAAGTCATTCACCATTGTCACTCACAACTATATTTCCATAACTTAATATTCTATAACCTCGTGTGATTCAAATACAATATCTAGAGGTATATACATACTATCAATTTGATCTTAATTTTTTAGAAAGATAAAACAATTATCTATAACTTCTATGTTGACCTCAAGAGTTGATTTATCCATCTACTATTTTTAAAAATAACAAAATTGTAGTGTTTTAGTTTAAATCAGACAGCTTGATTTTCACTTACTAATTTGATCATAACTTGAGTCATATACTTCCTTTTTAGGTGATTCTAAGGAAATTTGAAAGCTAACATCTAGGGCTACGACTTTCATGATGACTACAAAAGCAAATTCAACCATCTACTTACTTAAGTGAGCCAATCATTTGCTTATGTGAGGTTAGCTTGCTTAAAACGAGCTAAAATTTGCTTAAGCGAACTACTACCCAAAATTTTCTGTTAGGACATGCTTGATTGAGACTAAGGTCTCTTGAAGTGAGCTAAATTTTCTTAGAGCAGGTCTAAGGTTGCTTGAGCGAGCTATGATAATCCAGAACTCGATATTATGCTATTCATAGGTTTTTAACCTTTCCTACACCATTCCTTAACACTTTCAATTCAAATCCAATCAATAAGATGTCAAATTACAACCTATTACTATACAATTAAGTTATCAATTACTCAAATTCACGTGCTCATTTCAATTATCCCATATTAACTCAATATGTTCATTCCCTTATGTTCCCATAAGAACCCATGGATAATCCAAGACCCACAAGATTAGTAATTATATACAATTAAACACATATACCAATTAACAACATTAATTAGAATACTAAAGAATCATATAGAACATTGAATTACAAGTCATGATTATAAATCGAGATTGCTCCTTCATATAAGACATACAACAGAGGTTAAACTCACTAGCTAACACATATCCAATGCCTAGAGCAAGACTATTCACTCTCCCTTACCTCGATGAACACTAAATGTAGGACATAGATTTTCGAGGTAATCTTTAGCAGTAGTTCTTCAGAGCATAAAACATAAAGAGAGAAAAGTGAGAAGCATAAAAATAAAACTAGCACAACCTCCTTCATAAACCTCCTAACCCACTTTTAACTCAATAGTAAAACACTTAATCAAGGTTGCACTTCCCTTCCCTTAAATATTAAAATAAAACATAATTAATTAAAAACCATATTTTTTATATAAATAAAATTTATTTACTTAAATAACCTAACTAATTATTATAAAGTTGTAATTAATTTATTAGCAAAAATCTTGGGAGTGTTACATTGTTAATACAAACCAATACATGTAGTATTTATGAATTTCTAGTAAAAATGTATCACTTTAAGATTACACATATCTAGTAAATGTTAAAAAAAAAAGTTGAAGCAAGACTATATATGTGTAATGACCCACTAAGTCCTAACACTTCACAATTCAGTAACTAGTAGCGAAAAATATAAATCTAACTACCTAGGATTAACATGTAAGCAATGCCTAAATATATATGCAACAATATAATATGTGTAAATTTTTTGTCAATAACTGAAATAATATAATAAATGCCTCCATAGGACTACAACAAAAACTATACAAGCATATATATATATATATATATATATATATATATACACACACACACACACACACACATAATAATCCAGTGCTGAAAGCATAAACCTTGCCAGTCAAGCAATAACTACAAAAAGAATGCTACACTAAGGTAGCACAAAACTACACTGCCATATATATACAGTAATCCAATGCTGAAAGCATAAACCTTGCCAATCAAGCAATAACTACAAAAAAAAATGTTACACTAAGGTAGCACAAAACTACACCACCTTCCTCTAGAGTGGTTCCTAGAAAAGTACTTATCCTCTAGCCTAATTCTATCATGCTTCTATACTAATTATGATTAACACAGTCCAACTATAAGGAAATATGTAAGGGTAAGCTAACATTTAAAGTAATAAATAAGTATAAGAGAATTGACTAACTACATATACTACACTTAAACAACTCAACATACAACAACCTCTCCAGGCAACAACTCTTATAACAGCCACATTTTCAACTAGCAACACAACTACACAACAATTTCTCAACTTTCAACATAATCATACAACCATTAACATATCAACATGACATAAGAACAACACAACATACCAACATATCATATGTACATCACAACAACTACATGCGTCATCACACATTCAACTAAGAGATCTCTTACAACACAAGCAAATAGTCTAAGTGGCTTGACTCAAACGAACCAATTAACAATGTGATGTTTTTGGGCTAGCTAAATCAACATCTAATTTGGATAAAAATTCACAATACAACATGATTTATCGAATTTTGTTACTTAAACTAGAAAATTTTAGTATTCCTGTAAGTGTAGGATAGTTTGGTTGTGGTTTTACCACAACCTTAACATGCATAACTAAGCCTCCTATGGTATTGACTCATTGACTACTTTCCAAATACGATGCCCCTTCCAGCACTTAGTTAAGAATTTTGATCTCTAGTCTTGTACCTTACTCTATTTTGGTTATTTTGTACATGTATGGCTCAAACTTACTTTCATATAGATTTATATTATTCGATTTTATACATATATGGCTTGACCTGACCCCTATACAAATCAACATTTTGGTTGCTTATAGACAATATGGCTCGACTTGGCCTCCATATTGCAACAACTAAGATTCTAGAGGAAACTCAATAATTTACTTTAAGAGTAAACTTCCTTCGAAGGATTTTCAACAACTAGGTCATAGAGCACCACAACATACAATATCCTCATAATGAGATACTAAACTTTTCAAAACTTTTCCTCTAGTCCTAAGTTAATTAACACAACTCAATACCATGCCTTAAGCATTCTTAACACTACACAACTATACATGTCTACATTCATCATTCCACAACTTTCAACTTTCAACAACTTATATATCTACATATATCATCCTAGATTAATGTATAATAAATTAACATCACATACATGTTCAACACTTAATCAAGAAATCAACTTATTTTCATTAGGTAACTCAAGCCTAACACCATTCTCCCCATGCTCGGCGTCATTAAGACATAAAGTCTTTGGCTCGTTCATGCCTAAAGCCAAACTACATGTGCCTATCGTGAATGAGGGAAAGAACCCTTGTGTCAACCACGCTTGGCGTAGCAAAACTTATGCCTGACCGCATTTCAAGCAAAAAGTCTCTACCTGACTCACACTTAGCTTCACAACACTGGCACATGGCATTGTCTAAGTAGAAAGCTTCTATCTTGATCACGCTTGGTGCCACTCAACTAGGGCTCGACTTCATCAAGTTAGAGAGTTCCAAAGGCATCTACGCTTGATGCCATTTTACCGATACCCATCATGACCAAGTCAAAGAGCTTTCCTCTAACTCACTCTTGATGCTACCAATCTTATACCTTATGTTAGTAAGGTAGAGGGCCTCTTCCTTGCATCATGCTTGTTGCCTTGAAGTTGCACCCGATGCAATGATGAATTCTACACTTGGTAGATTCACGTTTTGGCCCAAACCACCTAGAACTCAAAAAATTCTACATATGCAATGCACCAAATAGCAACTACTTATCAATATCATTTCATTTTCATCAACAAAAACAACATGCAACCACAAATGATCAAGATACAAATTGCCTCCTCAACAAGAGTCAAACACCAAAACTCACACATGATGATCTCAACTCCCAAACATAAACCCCCAAATTTAATGAAAAACCAACACTATACAACTGCAAAATTTATAAAAAGTTATAGATATAACTTCCCTTACTTCTAAATACAAGAGAAAAAAAGGAGAAGGAAGAAGAATTTGTCCTAAGAACTTTGTCTGGAATGATCAACACCACATTGATTTTCGGTTCTAAAGCTTCGAATCTCAACTCCAGCTACACAACCTCACTTAAGGAAGGTTTTAGGACACTTTAGTAAATTGAGAAGAAGCAAGAATTCTTGTTCTAGAGCTCTTCTTTCGATGTTTTTTTTATTAAAAAAATGAACTTATAAAGTTTAAATCTTAAAGAAATTCTTATATATCTTTTTACTAATAGGTCAAACTTGACTTCAACTCAAAACAACTCCTAAATAACTAAAGTTCATTAATAATTTCTAAATTCTTAGAGTTTCTAAAACTTAAGCAATCAAATCACAACAATAAATATTCTAATAAAATAAACAAATGATAACAAAATTCATAGTGTAACAATTCTCCCTAATAACAAAAAATTTTGTCCCCGAAAATTGACTTACTTGGGGGAGTAATGAAATTTGATCTTTGAACTACTCCTCTGACTCGTAGGTAGCCTCACCAGTAGCTATATCCCATTGGACTTTCACTAAGCCAATGAATTTGTCCCTCAACTCCTTCAACTTGTGATTAACCTTATCAATTGGTCTCTTCTCATAAGCCAAATTCTCTTTAACCTTCACCTCATCCATTTCCACTATATGACCTAATTTATAGACATACTTCCTCTACTAGGAGACATGGAACACATAATGTAGGTTGGACAAGAATGGTGGAAATGCCAACTTATAAGCCATCGAACCTACACAATGAATGATTTGATAAGGTTTAATAAACTTTTGCTTCAACTTCTAAAACTTTACTATCATCCTAATTCCAGTAGTGGATGTCATCTTTAGAAAGACATGTTCTCCCTCAACAAACTCAAGAGGCTTCATCCTCTTGTCACATAAAACTTCTATCTAATTTGGTTAGTCTTCATCATATCTCAAATCATCTTTACCTTCTCAATAGTTTGTAAAACTAATTCCAATCCTACAATTACTAACTCACTGCCCTTCTCCATATTCTCTCTTTATATATATATATATATATATATATATATATATATATATATATATATATATATATATATATATATATATATATATATATATATATATATATATATATATATATATATATATATATATATATATATATATATATAATAGAGAGATGTTATTAAATACTCATAATGTTCCTAAAATTATTAAACACAATTTGTAACTAGCAAACATGTTGTGAGTCAAAGTAAAATCAAGTTCTAATAATTTATTTATATAAAAATCCAACTCATACACATAGAACATTTATAAATGTATCTCATTTTTTATTACAATATTTGAGTTTACTAATTGTTAATACAATAACTTGGATGTGTCCCATCTAATATCCAATACAACTCAAAAAGTATATTCCAAATAGGTAGAGACTATATAAGGAAAAATAGAACACAATTATTAATCATAAAATAATTATAAAATATATTATGCTAACATCATACTTTAAAACATTTCCATATTTCTTTTAAGCAATATTCTAGGACAGAATTTGGTTCTTTAAGAAATGTTCCTTGTAATTATAAGAGAATATTTAACACTAAGACAAAACCATTTAGGGTTGGTTTGAATACAAATTTTCATAAGTATTTGTAAGCGTATAAAATAAGAAGAAAAAATAATTTTTTTCTTCTAAAAATTAAAATTAGTGTATGAATAAATTAATTTTTAAAAGTTTTCTCATATTAACTTCTCTAAAACATATTTTTTTAAATTTATGTATAAGCTAATTTTTACTCATAAAAAATTATTTTATTTTATTTTATGATATTTTCTTCTTTTAACAGTGTTTATAGAGAAAATTATTTAATCATATCCTTTAACAAAATCTAAATGACAGAATTTTTAAATATATAAAGATTAAAAAAAAGAGTGCATAGATCCAATTTCACAATAAAACAAACATGGCAAGGTTTTTTTTTCAAAAAAAATATATGAAACAATTCAGCATTTTCTCTCATGATCAAACATTTCATCACTCCTTCCATTTTTTTTTTCCAAACTATAATAACTCTTGAAATTCATTGTTAGGTTTCAAAAAAATACCCATCCAAATAATCAAATATATAAAAAGATTAGAGAAAAACTTCTAATATCAAAGGGAAATTTTTTTTAAAGCTCAATCGCAGTTAAACATTAAAATCAACACATGTAAGATCATATGCCCCTTTTACATTCCTTTAATAGTGTTTGGATAGTTAAGTTTAGAAGGAATAAAATAAATATTGACATAAAATTTAGTTATCTAATTTCAAGCGCGTGATTTAGCGGTAGGAGTTGATTCATGTTTAAGCAAGGTCAGGGGTTCGAACCCTGCCTTGTGTATGCAGCCGTCTTAAATTTTAAGACCAACTATCCTACCCTTTGAGGTACCTCCAACATATCGAAAAGATTTAGTCATCTTTTCTTTATACCATAGTCTCTCTCCTTTTCTTTTTGGTGTTAATATTTTGGAGTATGTGATAAGGCTTTACAATTAAAATGCTTGTGCTTAGACAATTGAAGTTTAAAGTAAAGGATTTTAAAAAGAGATATACAGATATAAATATTATATTTACTTAAGATACACCGAAAAATTTACAATTGATATATCTGATAGGGAGCGAAAATAAAGGAAATTTTGAATGGAGGGAAAAGTAAAATATTTTTTATATAAATTATTATTTTTACTTTCTTTCTAGTCTTTTTAACTAAATAAAAAAACATTATTTATATATATTTTTTTCTTTTCTGTTTTCTCTTCACTCAATAAATCATACAATTAAAGTGAATACATAATTGTTATGATTGCCCCTGAATTCTTCTGTATTTCATTTTCTTAGGTCAATTCTAAAAATTGGTAAACAAATCAAACCTTAAGATTTTCAGACATTGGCAAAAGTTGCCAATTATTATAATATTGCGGTCAAAAGACAAAATAAATTATGTAACTGATGCAAAAGACGATAAAATTGAATGTATTTGGAATGTAATTAAAAAATTATTCCCTCCAAAAATAAACCAAAACTTTAAAAGACGTATATTCCTTTTGGTTCGGACCCTGGGTTAAAATAAAAGCAAAAGGTGCCATTACAAAATTGAGACGTTTTGAAGAGAGAAATATGAAAGAAAGTGAAAACGAGGTCGTTTGGCGTTGGTGACGTCACCAACACAGAGTCTCCAAAAGGAAAAGTGGAGCTTTATACAGCGACGAGAGTGTGAGTGGTAAAGTGCGTTTTCCTTGCACTTCCAATCTGTCACTCAAAATAAAATTCCCAAAGAGAACAAAAGAAGCGAATCAGCAGAAGAGAGAGTAGCGTTTCCAAGAAGCGGAACTCAAACAGAGGGTTTTTGATTTCTGAAGAATCGTGTTCGGAGTCGGAGATGGAGGCATCCACTCCGTCTTCTGCGAAGCCCTTGTCCATTACGCCGGGTTCTAGGGTTTTGAGAAGCCCTCTCTCCGACGAACAGATCTGGAAGCGCCTCAGAGACGCTGGCTTCGACGAGGAATCGATTAGGCACAAAGACAAGGCTGCGCTTATTGCTTACATCGCTAAGCTCGAAGCTGAGGTTCGGAATTTGCTTCCCCTCTCTCTCTCTCTCTAACCCTTTTTGTTTTTAATTGCAATTTGTTTGATTCGAGTGAACTGAATTGGGGGAACCGTTAATTGGAAGCTGCAATGCGATGGAGTTAGGGAAGGTGATTTGTTAGGTTGGGGGATTTTTTATTGAGTGGGTTGTGGACGGTGTTTGCGGTTGGAAAATTTATTTAATGGTCTTTTCGGATGGATGGCTTTTTCAATTATTTAGGTTCTCTTTTAATGATGAATTTCATTGTCGATATCGCTTCATATGGTATGTTGTTTATTCTAGTGCGAGATCTTCTTTTTGCGTTGCTGCTTCATTGGCTCAGTCCAACTTGATTGATAATTATGGTGGATAGATCCTGTGTCTATCTTCCTTAAACGTAATAGTTAGCGATTTGTGCTTGATAATTTTATGATTGGACAATAGGCAATAGTCATTGTTTGGAATTTTGTGGTATTGGGGGAAGCTGTGTACCCTGGGATAATTGTCCTTTTATTGAATGCTTTGAATTGTATGTTTCAAGTTTGGATTTGATTTTGATACATTCATAGTGCAGTGGATTGAATTTCAAGTTTCAATTACTGTTGAATGTTGATTTATTGTAGTGGAAGTGGAGTTTGTAAATAGTAGAGTCTCCATTCTGAGGAGGGCTTTACCTAAACACTACCTTTTGCCCATGGGATTAGTCTCACAGCTATGCATGTGAAGATATTTCATCAAAGACAAACAAAAAATTAAGTTTAAACTCTTTATACTATTTGTAGTCCAAGAATTTAGAAAGGTTCCTTGTTATTTGGGCTGTTAATCAGGAAAAAATCCATTTGGTCGTCCACCAACTTATTATTCTTGACATTTCTATTTTTTTTTGTTAATCCTGAATCCTGATGCATATATATCACAAATTACAAAGTTTGCTTTCTTTTATGGATTGCTGCATTTTGCGCTTTTGCATTGTATTTCTTGTCATTTGAATAGCTTTCCATTAGTTTTTCTGCCTGGTTGTTTAGCACCCATCACTTGCAAAGCCAGATGAGCAAATTGGGTTGATGCTTAATTTGCAAGTACAGTGAACTGGTTTGTTTTTTCACTCGAACCACTGTTTCCCTCATTATTTGAATTGCATTTTCAAGTGAATGCTCTATAAAAGGTTTATGGGGTCTTTCATTTTTATGAGATACAGTATTTCCTTTCCTGCTGTTAGTGCTTACGAAATTATTCTTTTCTCGCTTTCACTTTGACCGATATATGTTGTATAGATATATGATCACCAGCACCACATGGGTCTTCTCATATTGGAGAAAAAGGAATTGGCTTCCAAGTATGATCAAGTAAAGGCCTTGGCTGAATCATCTGAGTTAATACATAAACGTGATTCAGCCATGAATAAATCTGCATTAACTGAATCAAGGAAACGTGAAGAAAATTTGAAGAAGGCAGTAAGCGTCAAAGACACATGCATAGCAAGTGTAAGTTTATGGAATAGTTCTCCACCTCCCCTGCAAAACCATATATGCTTGTTTTTCCAAATCTTTATTTTGCTCACACTTCTAGAGGGTATTTTTTTCATTATCTCTTGTAGCTTGAAAAGGCCTTGCATGAGCTGCGTACAGAAAGTGCTGAAACAAAGGTTGCAGCTGAGAGTAAATTTGCTGAGGCACGCCAATTGATAGATGAAGCACAGAAAAAAATTACAGAGGCTGAAGCGAAGGTGCGTGCTGCAGAATCATTGCACGCAGATGCTAACCGTTATCACAATCTTGCGGAAAGGAAGCTACGTGATGTTGAAGCACGTGAAGATAACCTTAGGCGGCAAATCATATCCTTCAAGTCAGAGTATGTTACTTGTATACTTTCAATAATTAATGTGTGAATTTTGCTTCTTACTATCTACCTAGTTCAATTTTGTGATTTCAAGCACATAAGAACATTAAGTTTTGCCTCACCATTGTGCTGTCTAGAGGTGGTTGTCTTGAACAATCCTGAGCATTTCTTTACACAGATCTTATTAGTTATAGGTGAGGGAGAAAGAAATTGGTGGACCAAATTTTGTTTTTTCTACAGGTTTCATGCTTGAATTATTCTTCTATTAAATATAATCACTCATCTTTGAATTCTTACAATGGACAATATTATGCACTTTCCTTTTAACAATTAGCAACATGTTAACTGAACATGTGATTAAGTTTTGTAGTTATTAGTTCCACATGTTGTGTATGTGATTATAATCTCCCTGTAATCTCCATGTTTGTAGTTATTAAGTTTTGTATGTGATTATAAATTATAATCTCCCTGTAAGCATGAAATTTTCGATAGCTTCATATTCTTCAGAAATCATGTTGATATGTCCCTTTCCCCCTTCTCTCTCTCTCTCAGTTGTGATGAAAAAGATAAGGAGATGATTCTTGAGAGGCAATCCCTTTCCGAAAGGCAAAAGGGTTTGCAACAAGAGCAGGAAAGATTACTTCAATCACAAGCCTTGCTCAACCAGAGAGAGGATCAGTTTTTGAGTAGATCTCAGGAATTAAATCGTCTTCAAAAAGAGCTGGAGGACACAAAACTGAAAATTGAAAAGGAACACGTAGTCCTACACAATGAGAAAACTGCCCTAAAATTGAAGGAGGCCACCTTAATACAACAAGAAGAGGTTCATATTTGAAAATACTGTTGGTTCACGATGCAATTGATAAATATTTACTATCTTTGTCTTGTTCATGTGTTGATTTATTTTGTTTGAAAACAGGAACTTGCTAAATGGAAAACTGAGCTAAACCAGAAAGAACAAGAGTTACTTGAATTTCAAGTGAAACTTTCTAATAAAGAATCTGTACATTCTCTCACCATTGTTTACTTTTCATTTTAATTTCTAATCCTTTTTGCTATATCATTTTCTCTATATCATTCTCTTTTTTTTTTTGTTGGAAAATGTAGGATGATACTCAGAAAGTTATTGCTGGTCAGGAAGCCGATATGAGAACCAAAAGATATAACTTGGAAGTTGAGCTACAAATGCAGCGGAAATTGGTTGAAAATGAAATTGAGACAAAGAGACGGGCTTGGGAGTTGAAGGAGGTTGATCTTAAACATTATGAGGATCAAATCCTGGAAAGGCAGCATGAGTTGGAAGTTCTGTCGAGGTCACTGAGTGAGAAGGAGAAGGATGTGAAGGATCTGTTGAGTGCTATTGAAGAAAAAGATCAAAGGCTGAGTGCTGCTGAGAAGGAGTTTGAGTTAAATAAAGCGCTTTTGCAAAAGGAGAAAGACGATATTGAACAAGCAAAGCAAGATCTGCAGAAGTCTTTGGCATCATTGGAAAATAAAACAAGACAAGTTGATATTGAAAAGGAGAGACTGGAGGCTGTGAAAAGTGAAGCAGGTGACTTGTCAATTTTGGAAGTGAAACTAAAGGAAGAGATTGACCTTGTAAGATCTCAGAATTTGGAGCTTTTGGCTGAGGCAGATAAGCTAAAAGCTGAGAAGGCTAAGTTTGAAGCTGAGTGGGAGCTTCTTGATGAAAAAAAAGAAGAGTTGCGGAAAGAAGCAGATTTCATAGCAAAGGAAAGGCAGGCAGTTTCCACTTTTATTAAGAATGAGCGTGACCAACTAAGAGAAGAGAAAGAGAATTTGCGCAATCAGTACACTCAAGACTTAGGGTTTCTTGCCAGTGAACGTGAAAAGTTCATGAACAAGATGGCACTTGAACATGCTGAATGGTTTGGCAAGATGCAGCAAGAGCGAGCAGATTTCCTGCGGGACATTGAGATGCAAAAGCAGGAGCTGAATAACCTCATTGAGAAGAGACGTGAAGAAGTGGAAAGTTATTTGAAGGAAAGAGAAAAGGCTTTTGAGGAAGAAAAGAACACTGAACTTCAGTACATTAATGCTCTTAAGGAGAAAGCAGCAAAAGAGCTGGAACAGGTTTCCTTGGAGATGAAAAGGCTTCAAACTGAGCGGGCTGAGATAAATTTGGATCGTGAGCGGAGAAATAGGGAATGGGCTGAACTTACTAACTGTATTGAGGAACTCGAGGTTCAAAGGGATAAGCTCCAAAAACAGAGAGAACTGTTGCATGCTGATAGAATTGAAATTTATAGTCAGACTGAAGAATTGAAAAAATTAGAAGATTTGAAAGCTGTCTCTGATGATAATGCTATCACTGAAATGCTTAAATCTGATATGGAGTCTAACCAAAAGAAAATCTCTGCAAGGAAGAGCTTGAAGCATCAGACTCTTACACAAGGTGGTGATAAAATTGTCAATGGGTTTGATACTCCATTTGTGCAGAAGTCATCTGGTGTTTCATCTGTTGTTTCTCCTCCTAGCCCTGTTCGATTCTCATGGATAAAACGATGCACGGAGCTAATTTTCAGAAATTCTCTCGAGAAGCCACTTGCGAGACAAGAGGATTCCCCTATGGTTTCTGATACAGATAATGTTAGCAACGGGCAAAAGTACTTGGAAAATGACAGGCCACTTGGTAATATTGGCGAGGGACAGCAAACAGCATTTGCTTCTGAAGAACCAAAAGTAATAGTTGAAGTACCTTCTCGAGATGATGATGCTAGAAGTGAGTTTGAATCTGTGGCTAAAGATGTAAATGGAAAAAGTGCTCTCTTATTTCCAGATGGACATCATGTCAGCAGACGGAAAAGAGGGAGGGGGAACATGACTAATAAAGTTGGTGATCCTCTTGTAGATCTGGGGCGAAAAAAGAAATCGAGAGCAGAACAGACAACTGAAAATCCTATAGACCAGGACACTACCTTCTGGTACTATTTTTGTCCTCTGAGTCAATTTATTTTTTAAGATATGGCTTATCTATATTCACAAGTAATCTAGGTGCAGAATATATTTATGAACTTCTTTGTTGATTTTATTTTTAGTGTGGTTTCAACCCAATCAGATATATCAAAGGTCCAGCAGGTGTTAACCTCTTCAAATCAAACACAAGGGAACACTGAAGAAACTCGTGTAGTAATGATTGATAAGGTTATTCATGTATCAGAAGTGACTTCTGAGAAAGTTGATTGTCTCCCTGTCCCCAGTCAAGAACCAAGAGATAATTTGCAAGGAGAAACAACTGATCGGTCAAATTCTATAACTAGACAGGAAGACATTTTACCTTGTGCTTCTAGTTAGTGTTAGGTAGGTGGTATACAATCACTTTTATTTTTTTTGGTCTTATTTGCTTTAGTTGCTTATCCAGGCTATGTCTTTTTAATGTATACTACTGCTTTCTTTTGTTGCCATTTTCTGCGTAAGCTTTGATTATATATTCATGCAGGTGTTGTTTGAATGTGGACAGGGACTGCAGATGGATTTCAGTATTGGTACTGATAATTGGTGTGGTTAAGACAAGTATATATTAGGAGTGTATGAGGTACGTCAATTAAGCATGTCTAGCTGTATATTTCTCTCAATTATATCTCTTGCTCATTGGACTCCCCTTCTTGCAATGCAGGATGCCATAGGAATGGACTTCTCATTTGTTAGTAATTTGGAGCTGGGTATGTATGTAGAGCTAACTTCGAGATGTTTGCTGTGTGTACACACTTAATGGATGCAGTTGCAAATTGCAATTAGGGTGGGGTAGACTGTTGATATCATAGTTCATAAAATAGGCCAAAAAGGAGAAAAAAAAAGAGAGAAGTTAGATGCAACCAAGGGTAGGTTACTCTTCCAAAGCGTGTTGGTTTTCTGATTCACTGAGTTATTCTGGCATGGTTTTGTTTGTCGTATTTGGGTTTTTGGCACAACGCTGAATGTCATTGTAGCCATCAATAGTGATTTTACTTGTCTACAAACACGTTGGTCAGAATCTCATGTATCTGAAGCGTGTGTTTAGCTGGTTCTTTATTATGCACCAGCGATAGTATTATGTTTGCATTCTGTTTTTGCTTAAATATGTTTAGTCTCTTAAATTTAGGGAAAATTTTGTAACTTTGAAAAATAGTTTTAGTTTTTCAAGTTACTTATAAGACAGATTAAGGCAGTTAGGCAATGAGTTGGGTTTAACGGGATATTTTTATTAACAAATAAAAAGACCAATTTTAAATTTGGGATTAAAAATAAATTTATCTTAAATTTAAAAAACTAAAAATATATTTCATTTTTTTTTTTATATAGAAATTGAACTTAATACCAAAAGATTTTGAATAACTTCATGCACATTCATGAGTGAATTGACTTAGGTCCATTTGGTGTATTATGTTGTAAGCATGATTATTATTAATGGTGTGCTGGGGACGGTGGAATTCTTTACCAAGTCACTAACAATTCAAGAGATTGTGTGCTTAATGTAATACCCAAAACCTGTTAAACTGTAATGGATGGTCAAAATCAGATTTAAGTTAAATTAATACCATCTCCAAGTCTCACGAATAATCAATACAAAATTAAATAAAATTATTTTTTAAAATAAAATTAATTTCTCGTTTTTTTATTGCATACAAGGAGAGTATAGTGATATTTATTATTCTATTGTAATATATATAAAAAATTATGATATTATGATAAATAGTAATATTTAATATAATGGTTTAAATTATATATTTAATTATAGCCTTCATCTGATTGTTTTAAAAAGGTTAAAAACCTAATTTGATCCTTTATTATAATTGTTTGTTTTAAATTAGTCTTACTTTAATTTTTGGTCTCAATTTAGTCTCTAATAAATTAAATTGTTGTAATGTTGGATTTCTGTCCAAATTATTTAAACGGAGTTAACTGTTGGTCACGTGGATGTCACGTAGATACATAGGTGGATGTCAAATTTCTTTAATGCATCTGGAACTAGAACGACTCATTCTAAAATCAGAACGACCCGTTCTGGCATATGTTGTGTGTTAATTTTGAATTTGGAACGGGCCGTTCCATATGCAAAATTAACACACCACGAGTGTAGCAGAACGAGCCTTTCTGAAACCAAAATGGGTCGTTCTGGTTTTAGAACGGGCCGTTCTGGATTCAGAACGGGTTGTTCCAAAACGCCAACCACATACGTACGTTCAACAAAATGTCGCAATGTGATTCAAAAATTGAAAATAAAAATTCATAACATATCATAAAAAATTTCAAAGAAATTATTGAGAAGGGAAATCATCCGGATAACGTTGAAGGTGTCAATAATACATCTTATCCACCATCTGGATATTAGCATTATCTACCTGTACATGTGGTTGTGTGGTGAAATGTTGGTCTTGTGTATCTTCTTCCTTTACTTCAAGTTGTACCTCCTCAAAAATAGGTTGTTGTTGTTAAGGTACATCAGCCAATGACTTCAAGGAAAAACACCATGTCGTTTCATCCTTGACTGTATAGTGTCAATTTGGTAGTAAGTAGTTCATTCTAATTTGACTAACAATGAAATAAAACTTGTTACCATTGTCCTTAGTGATACACTACATTGTCCTTAATGATATATTGTATAGCCCAAATGTTTAGCAATTGAAGTTATCAATCCCCATTGACAATATTATCAAATTCAGTATTTGAAATGTTTTGTACCTTGAGTCTTTTTCCTTGCACGATTCACAACCGTGAACTATAATCATCGACCGTTTGTGTTTGGCATTCTGAACCAGAACGTCCCATTCTGAAACCATAATGGCCCGTTCTGGTTGCACTTTTTGTGTGTTAATTTTGGACCTGGAACGACCCATTCCAGGTGCAAAATTAACACACCAAGAGTGCAACCAGAACGGGCCGTTCTGGTTTCAGAACGGGCCATTCTGGTTCTAGATGCATTAAAAAAATTTGGCATCCACCTATGCATCCACGTGGCATCCACGTGGCTAACAGTTAACTTCGTTTAAATAATTTGGACGGAAGTCCAACATTGCAACAATTTAATTTATTAAGGATCAAATTGAGACAAAAAATTAAAGTGGGACTAAATTGAAACAAACAATTATAATAAGGGACTAAATTAAGTTTTTAGCCTTTTAGAAAATTTAAATAGTTAATTTTTTTTTTTATATAAATAGTTTATTTTAAAAAATTCAATGTCATTTCTTATAATTAAGAATTTTGTCTATCTATTTATCTTACACAAAACATGCCAACTTTTATAAAGAATATATAGTTGAATTGAATTTTTTTTATAAACATAAATAAAATTAAAATATCATCAGAGTCATAATAAAATGAAATAAAAGGTTAAAATTGTTAAAATGTAGTATCGATATGATTGAAAAGAACAATGATTTAATTTTACTAATACTCAAAATTAGGGATAACAATAAAGTGAGAGCGAGTAATAGCTTTCTATCACTCATCTTATTTAGTGTAAGTATTCAAGAATTTATATATATGGATATCTATGAATATTTTGAATATTTAAAAAAATGTGAAATTTGAAATAAAAATTAAGAAATAAAATAAAATAAAAATTAAATAATTTTAAAACATATATTTTTTTATTAAAATAAATAATTGTGACACATTTAGTATAAAAATAAATTAAATTAAACTACTTTATATATAATTAAGAATATTTTTAAAAATTTTAAAGTATGGGTAATTGTAAGTACAAGTATCCTACTATCCTTATCCGCCTCATTATTGATTGACTATTCATTTAATTATTTATTTAAAATTTATAGCAAATTTTATTTGAGGGTATTTGTGGGTATGGATTGTTTTGTCATTCCTACTCAAAATCATTGTTGTGAAATGATTATCATATGAATGAAGTGTATGTATCCTTTGCGGTATTGAAGAATTTTAGTAAGAAAGAAATATATAAAGACTCATTTGGAAGAATTATGAACAACTTATTTGTATTTATCTTATTCTATAAGTACTTATAAAAGTGTTTAGACAATCTTATAAAATATCTTATAAATAGTTCATAAAATATTTTGAACTTATTTTATTAAGTTGTTTAATATAACTTATTACATTATGTGGGAATTTATTAAAAAATATTTAAGTTCGAATTTTGTCATTAATGTAAAAATTTTATTTTTTCATTCTTTCACTAAAAATCAACTATATATATATTTTATACATAAGCATGTATATTATAATTTGTTTGTGTAGATTATTGTATTTTGTCATATATATATATATATATATATTCATTACTCCACCCAAAAGTTTTTTCCTATCCTTCTAAAAGTTTTTGATTTTATTTTTATTCTCTTCTCCAAAAACATTTCTGTCACTTTCCCCCAAAATTCAAATTCCTTTATTATTATATTAAAAAAAACCTCATAACTTTTTTCTCTCTCTAAAATTATACATCTGAAATAATTTTATTGTTGATATTTATACAATATTTTTTAATCATGATTTTATAAAATATATAGAATTAATTTTTAATTTTTAAAATTTATGATTCTTAATTTTAATCATGGTTATATGTATAATTAATTTCTCATATTTAATTATTAATTTTATCTTTTTATAAACTAAAATTAGGTGAATGGTGACTAGTATTTTTTTTTATATTTTTAATATTATTGTGATGTATAATGTCATTTTTAAAAATTATTTAGTTACTTTTTATATTTTAATTTTATTTTCAGTCAAAATTTAACTTTGTAATTTTTAAAATGAGATAACATCTTATAAGTACTTAAATAATGATACATCTATACATTTTAAAATTGTATAAGTATATGCTAACATGTATATCCAAATTCAATAACTTACCGAAATTTAAACACTTATAACATAAATTCTTATTACAAAAGAGTGTATTATATAATAAGGTTTTAAATAAGTTATTTGTTTAAACAAACCCAAAAAGATTAAATGATAATAAAATGTAAGTATGTTGACAGTAAGGCTAGAAATGAGTCAAGCTGAGCCATACTCAATTTGGCTCAACTCGATAACTTGTAGTTTGACTTGAGTTCGATATAATTTTTTTTTTCTAATTTGGATTCGACTCGATTCAAGCTCATTAGTAGTAGGGTTGGCGTTCAGTATTTTAGTACCCTAAGAGAAATGTATAAATGATACACTTTTAATTATTTGAATATTACTTATGGCTTGAGTTTCCAAACCTAAAAGTGTAAAACACAAATAATTTAACATACAATTGCTAAAAAACTGACTAAACATACAGTATATTCCTATGAGACGAGTTATCTTTAAAGACTATTACATATTAAAAAAATAGATCAATAATGATAACATATCATAAAAAAGTTCATAGTGGGGAGGTGAACCAAAAGAAAAAAATAAGTATTATATTACATTTTCTCTTTTTACATTTAATATTATATTACTGATTTATTTTCCTAAAATCATGGGTAGATTTTTGTTGACTAGTGAAAAAATAATTATTGATTAATTGCTCACAATTAATTTATTTTCTATAGCATATTTTTAATATAATTTAATTATGTAAAGTTTTGTTTTATATTATATGGATTAAATAACATTTTTTTAACCCTCCAATAATGAAAACTAATTATATAAATTATATATTTATGTCTAACTAATTATGAATTAAATGAGTTGAATTATACATAACTTAAGTTTAACCTATTTATTTATTGAATTCAATCTATAACTCAAATTCAATTTATTTGATTAATAAATCAAATTTAATGAATGAATTATCGAATAAAGTTTCAGTTTATTTTTAAGTTGATTTAGTTCATTATTATTACTAGTTCACACGTTAGGTGGGATGGATTAAGTAGGCTAAAATGTTTATCTTGTTCTACTAAGTTTTTGAAGGGGTGAAAGCAAGGTAGACCAAAATGAGCGGATTGGCCCATTTTTTCATCCCAACACTCGTCCTCTCTTTTTTCAAAGTATTGGTCACTTTGCATTGCTTGTGCAATGCCAAAGCATGCTAAAAGTTGAAGAGAGGGCAACGTAGAATTCAGAACATAGGAACAGACGTGTATTGCTTTTGAAACTCACTCCTGCAGCTGCCATCCAC